TTTTATACAGTATGAAATAATTTGTTATTTTTTAGATAATGAATAAAAATTGTTCGTCAAGTGATTCAATTTCAATGGATACTTCATCATCAACTGTTATGCCACAATCAGAAAATAGTGATGCATCTTTGACAAATAAAAATATAAAACGTAAAAGTATTAAAGATGAATCATCTGGAGCAAATAAACGTTCAAAATTAATTGATATGGTTTTTTATGATGGAAATCGTCATCCAGCTGCTGTTTTACATGAACTTCGCCCTGAAATCTCGTCTGATAAATATTCTTTTCAATTGGAAGAAATCGCTCCAAAACAAACACGTTTTCGTTGTTCAGTAACAATTGATCAAAATATTTCAGAACCAATAACTGCTATTGGTGTTGGAAGATCAAAAAGAGATTTACAAGAAAGAAAAACAAAAACGAAATATAGAATATCATTCATTCATTGATTGACATCAGCTTGAATATATCCTTTTATAGTAATTAAAAAATTTTTACTTTGAATAATTGTATTACGAAAAAAAGAATTTTTTCGAAATTTTGATAATGTTTTCTGTAATCCCGATGAGTCATTTGGATCCAAATATGATGATATATCAAGTTTAATACGACTAAGTTTATTTGAACAAAGTGACATTAATCGAATCCAATTTGTTGATGATAAATAATCTTCTAAATCATCATCGGCCATTGAACCACTAATTATTAAATAACGAACACTTTTTGGAATTAATTTTTCAAGATTTGAAAAACTCATATCGTCATCACAAATATTTATATGAATGAATGATAAATGAGAAGGAAATATCTGATGAGATATTATATATTCATCCATCCAATAATCACATTGATGAACTCCACCATTAATAACAGAAAGAGAACGAAGATTAGGAACCTTAAATATTCAAAAACAAAGTTGTTCATTGCTTTTTTTTTCCTTTATAAATATGATTTCTTACAAAAGACCAAAGACGAGCAAGTTTAGCTAATTTAATTCTTCCATCAAGTGTTAATTTTTCAATTTGACTTATTTTGATTGTTTGATTATGAAAAGGTTTAACAAGAAATTCTTTTTGCATTGAATTAAGTATCATTCGAATAACATTAGGAAAGTAGATCGATATTATTTTTATAATAGATTTTGCACATGTTGATTCAATTGATATTTGACGAAGATTAATTAATGAATATTTACTTATTGTTTCTAATTGTTCATCATTTATAGAGATTAAACTAAGTGAACGAAGACGAATGAATAAACTAATATCGATTATTTGATTATTACTTATATGAGAATAATCTATCTTAATAGATATAATTTGATTTGAATATAATGGATATGGTACAAATAAATTTGAACATAAAATATTTAAATGAATTGGAAGACGATAATCATTTAATAATGATTCAATAGAAGAATTTAATTTTGAAAATGAATTTATTATAGATTGACCATCAAAATAAGCAAATAGCTCAAACCAAATTTCACCTGATAGATCTTCTATCTTACTTTTTATTTTTGAAAAATCTAAAAAATACAATTCACTTGATTATTAATACAAAAAAAAAAAAATATTTAATTTACTTTTTTTTTGTTTTTTTGATTTATAATTGCTGTCATCCCTTTCATTTTGTTGTCTAGTCAATGTTCGTTTTCGTAGTTCCATCTATAAAAGAAAAAAAGAATCATTGAAAAAATACAGTTTTCGTTTTTATATTCAAAAGATTGAACATTTCGTTTTTATATGATTGAATAAGACAGGTAGACAAAGGAATAATGACTAGAAGTTCGATATACGTTTGAACTTTTTTTTTTCTTCAACATTATGTAATCTAATACTTCACTGAGCAATGAAGTTTAAACAAACATTGAAACTGTTCAAGAAAAAAAAAATGAATTACAATCATTTATTAGATAACAGATAAGGTTATAATGAATAAAAAATATTAAAAGAAAATATCTATCATATCTATTGAATGGATTTCAGAAATGAAAAGAAAGACAACAATGGTTAATATTATATTCTGTCATTTGTTTGTTGACTGCTACTTTATTAAAACCAATCAAATACATTTTCACAGCCTCTTCTCTTTTCTTCTCAATAAAACAAGATGCAATTGATTGACCATATCTCGCAAGTTTTCCTAATATAACAGGTCACGTAAAACTTTAATTTTTTTGCAAGTTGTTTCTTTAACGGAAAAGAAAAGTTTACAACAGAGTTCCCAGCAAAGCCCGATGACCTACAGGCGTCTATCAGGCCATCAGATTAGGTCGAGTTTTTTTTGTGTTAGAATGACTTGCTCTTGTCTAGAAAATTGTTGATCAGACCAGATTATAACTTTTGGCTTGATCAAAGTCTACTTGGCATTAGTGTCATAGTTCATTTCAAACGTTAGATGTCGCTGTCGGTTGAGTTGTATTTTATCTAAATAACTCCAAAGTGAATTACAATAGGCAAAACATTAAACGGAAGAGACAAGAGAAGAAAGACTATTTATGAGTGCAGTTTTACTTCTTTTCAGACAGAAAAACATAAATTAAGTAATTGAATTAATTGAACTATTTTGGTTTAGCATGAGACTGCAGACCAAGAAAGGCCATACTAGGATACAGATCGACTATCAAATATTGACCTAATCTCTTTTTTCTATTAGACCAGTCTTATATTAAGAATGTTCTCCAATAATGAAAAAATTCATTTTAAATAATAGTTTGTATAGATTTTTCATTCTAAAGAATACTGTCAATTTTATCAATGGATTTCATCATATAATTATTAGTCTAATTCAAACGAGCGGGGCGCACAATGTGGCGGAGGCTAGCCCCCGCCACTTTTGCAGTGTGTCTGCGAAAATTTTTAATACTGTCTGACAAAAATGTGTAATATTGTCTGCGAAATTAAAATTTATCGCTGCAATCGACTGATCACGTGATAATATTAGCGTTGAAAAATTTTTTTTAGACAATTTTTCTGAAGATTTTATTTAGTTCTGGAGGGGAGTAGGGGTTTCTTCGTCACGCTACTCGCCCCCCCCTCCTCCGGTCATCACCTTTTACGAAAAATAAGTGACTGTCTGCCAAGTTTGTTGAAGTGTCTGGTAAAACAAAAAAAAATTTTAGCCCCCGTCAGTCTGAAAAACAATCGAGAGCCTTGCAAACGGGCATTCTGTGCTGGTTCAATTGGATAAAACCAAGGAAGAAACAATCTAATTCCAAAGATTTGAAAAGACTTTTTCATATGTGACAAAATTTCATTGGATTTCATGATACTTCGAGACATTATCAATGTTAGAGAAACACTAAAAATCGAATGAATAACAAATCTAAATTCATACATAAGCAAACGGTTTGTTGAATTTTAACAAACAAAGTTAGTCATTTATCGGCTGATAAACTGTGGCAAATGATAGAAGCAAACAAAAAAAAGCACTAAAAATCTTCATTGCATTTATATTTTATCGCCGAATCATTTCATTATAGGTATATATAACTTCATTAAAAAGCATTCAATTAATATGGCATTAGTTTTTGAATTCAAACGAGTTTAGATCTTTTTTTTAGACATATTGATTAAAAGATAAAAATTAAGATTTATCCTAAAAGAAAAATGTCGAAAACAAGATAGTTTCATTGGTAAATATCATGAAGATTGTCTATCTACAAGATTCTCAAATATCTTAGTACAGGATCTTCTTCATTATATTCTTCTTTTAAAATAAGTTAAAACGTACTTATATAGTTTCACAAGAGTTCAAGGAATCTCAAGACTTCACCATCGAAAACAGTGTTGTTTTTTCTTTGAATAAAACTAATTAAATATAATGATAGAATATATATTAAGAAAACATAATTTATCTGATTTTTGTTCATAATACTGATTGATTTATGTTGTGTATATTTCAACAATGATGATGAATAAATATATTTTTGTACAATAAATAAGACGAGTTATAATAAACTAATTTAAGTCAATCATGTCGATGAAATCTAAAGTGACATGAATAATATTTTTTTTTCTAATCGATAAAATTTTATTATAAAAATATTTACTGTATTATTATATTATTGAAACAGGTAAATATGATTATATACTGCTAAAATTACAAAAATATGATAATTATCTATTTTACTCTTTATTCAAGTTATTTATTATCATTATCAAACGTATTGATTAAATTCTAAAAATTTTTAGAACAAAATGATTAAATAGTTATATACATATAACATTAGTAAATAAAGTTTATGCATTTTCTTTCTAATGAAAAATCATCTATTCCAGTTTATTAAGTATAGAAATATGTTTCAAATTACCACCAAAAACTCGGATAAGTTCGTTTAGGTGCAATATTATTAACAATTAAAGCAACAAATAACATAGTACAAGCGCCACTAAGAGCAGGTATTAAAATAAATTGAAAATTTGCCCAAGGTAAAATAGGATGAGCAGTAACAGCAATTAGAGCAGTTGCACCAGCTGGTGGATGAGTTGTTTCAGTCAATTGTGTTACTACAATGGCTGTTGCAACTGCTATAGCACATCCCACTGATTTTTCAAATTGATAAATAGCTAATCGTACTACACAACCACATATAGCACCTATAAGATGGCCACCAATTAAACTACGAGGTTGAGCTAATGGAGAACGAGGTGCACCAAATATAATAGCAGCAGAAGCACCAAATGAACCGATTAAAAATGATAATTGATGCCTATAAGAAATAAGGATTTAATATTATTTTTCTTAATAATAAACAATATTTACTTTTCGAGTAATCTGAAATGAAGAAAGGCAACAGCTGCGATACCCAAAAATGCTCCAATAAAACTCCAAAAATATTCTTGCCATGGCAAACGTTTTGGTCGTTCTTCATGTAATCCACAAAATTTCTTCGCATATATTCTTAACCATTTCCAACATTTATTAAAAGTCAATGACGATGTAACATTTGTTTCTTCAACATTTTCTATTTTAGCAAGAGTTTCAGGAGGTACTTCAATAAGATCTGGTGCTTCTTTATGATCAATATTAATTACAGAAAAAGATAGTGTTGGAGAATTCGTTTTCATCTTTTAACTGAAAAAATCACATATATCATTTATTGGTATATTGCTTTTCTTTTCTTTTCTTTTCTTTTCGTTTCTTTCGTTTTATCCACATGATCATTTGCTAAGGTCCAATGCACACAATTGTGATTATGCCACATTGAAAATACAAACAATAGCTTTATTTTATATAATATGCTTACATATAAATACAATATTTTGATGTACACATCTATCATTTATTGTTGTTAATAAGTACAAGTTAATATTTTCTATATTAATAGAAAAAAAAATGTTTTTGTTTTTAAATGAATAAAACGCGTTAATAAAATGCAAATGTTATTGAAAGATAGAAGACTTCAATTGATCTATTTTGTTTTATATAATGAACATTGATAATGTTGTTTGGTATGATTCATATTGCATAATTATTATACATGTTTAAAGAAATAATATAATGACTTACTGAAAATTTTAAAGCAAGAAAAAGTCAAATTATTCATTTCAATGTCGAACATGCTATGATATTTGTCAAATATTAAAAAAAATATTAATAATATCAAATAGAGGATATGTTCAGAAATGTATCGATGCCAATTCTTCACTGATCCAAACGAAGAATCGATGTAGAGAAACGAAGTGTGTCTTTATTGTATAACGAACTATTTTAATGTTTAGCTTTTCGATAAAGAAAGCATATATTTGTCAAATAATGAATTTTTTAAATAAAATTTGATAGAAGCTTATCGAAATTGACAAATTCGAAGATCTAACTGATTTTTTGAATTTTCAAGTTTTACTTTTTATCCAGATACTTTAAAAAAAAAGAGAAAATATGACATTAACATGACGAAACAAACATAGAATTAATTAATATCACTTTAATTTCCTGATTTTGATTAGAAAAACCCAAATTCATTAAATTAAATTGATTGAAATGTCTGTTTTAATCAATCAATCTGAAATACATCAATTTTTATGTCTATTTCACCCTTGGGAACATCTCTTTTTTTTGAGAGTGTAAGTCTTCATTTCATCCGCACGGAAACCCTTTAGTTGACACAAGAGATGCAAAAAGTGCAGTTCGCACTTTGTTGATATTAAACAAATTGTTGACTGAAGAATGAATTAAAATTGAACCTGTTTGGTAGTACTAGGACTAATAAAGATTGTTAGAATATTTCTTGTTATTATCCAAGAAAAGAACTGAAAATTATTGTTCGAATATTTAGCATGAATTTCCCTTGTTTTAGTTAAGCCTATAAAAATGCTTCAAAACAGTATTGGATTAACGCTATCTCTATAAAAAAACAAAGCATCTTCAAATAAGTTTCTATCCCTAAAACAATTCACGTGTTCTATAGTAATCAAAGGGAGGTAATATTCCAATGTTGAATATGAAAGAATTTTACTTATTCAATGTGAATACTGAATATGCTTTATTAATACGACTGAAATTTTTATTTTTGTTTGCTGATTTATTTAACGTTTTGATAAAGATTTTTCACCATAAATCTTTGCACTAAAACAATTCATGCATAACTCTCTAGTGAAGATTATTTCTTTTAAGATTTAATACATTTGACGTTGACATTGCACGCCAATAGAATATCACTCTTGATCCTTTTTTTTTTTGTTGTGTATGAAGAATATTAAATATGAACATAGTTTCAACTAAAATTCATTTAAATAGACAATCAACAGTTAAAAATGCATAT